GCTGTGAGCTGTGAGGCCACGGCACTCTACCCAGGGGGACAGCTTGAGGCTCTGTCTCAAAAAAAAAAAAATTGCTATACCAAAATGAAATTTCCATTTCACAACTTAGATTTGTTAGCATTACACATATACACACAGGCAGTAACACGAAATATTAATCTATGTTAAAGAAATTCAGAAAGATCCCTGCATTTCGCATATCTCTTTAACAATTAAAGTCTCAATAGGCATCTCGAATCTCCGTTTACAAATTTTCGATCACTTTCATTGCTTTGGTAATTACAACACCACTGCACTGAAATTCCTGTCAACTAAATATGCAAGTTGGAAATGCTAAAATATTTACAGAACAGAATGTGAAGAGTGAATAAATTAATTATTCTGAGAAAATATCTTTATTTCCCTTAGGCCTCCCTCTTGATAACAATAATGGTAGTTGTGGGGCAGAATTCTAAAGATGATCCCTCAAGATTACTGTTCATTGGTTATTCAATCCAATTAATCTAGGTACTGCATATAGGGATTCTGCATATGTAATTAAAATCTGAGCTCAACTGATTTTAAAGTACAGATATTATGTGGGTGGACACGATGCAACCAGGAGAGCCCTTTAAAGGCCGTTTTCTCTGGGTGGTAGCAGAAGGGGGAGTCAGAGTGTTCAAAGAACTAGAAGAATGTGGCACCTTTACTGGCTTTGAGGCTGAAGGAGGCCATGTGCGAGGAATAGAAAGTAGCCTCAGGAGCTGGGAGTGACCTCCATCTGACCGCTAGCAAGGAAATACGGACCTCAGACCTACCTGCACAAGAATCCTGCCAATAACCTGAAAGACCTTGAAGTGGATTCTTTCCCCAGAACCTCTAGATCAGTAATTTTCAACTGGTGTGCCATGAGAGGATCTTAGGTGTGCCACAAAAATTTTTAAAGATCATTAATTAAATTATTTTTTGAAAGGAGTTCAAAGCACAGTATAACTATATTCTTTTTTTTACTCTTTTTTTTTGATCAACATAATTTAAGTGTGCCACGAAAATTTAACTATAGGTTCAAGTGTGCCATGAGATAAAAAGGTTGAAAAACACTGCTCTAGATAAGAACGAGTCTGCCTGACTGACACCTGATTTCAATCTTGCGCGACCTGGAACAGAGAACCCAGTCAAGGCCAGATTCTGACTTAGAGAACTATGAGCTAATCAATGAGCGTTTCTTTGAGTTGCTGTTTGTGGTACTTTGTTTTGCCACAACAGAAAATGAAGACAATACCCTTCTTCTAACTTGAGCTTTTTGCTTAATTCCGCATGTGGATTTTTCACTATTAGTTTGTTCTACAAAACCATCCATTTATGTTTGTAGCAGGGTTAGCCTGGGGGAAGATATGGGGGAGGACGCAGAACAAATCTTCATTGAGTTGGACTGTGTTGCACATTGTTGGGCTCGGAGCCAGTAGCAACCCCAGTCACTCTGATTGAAACACACTCACAATTTCCCAAAATGCACTGGAAGGAGGTGGCACTGCTTGCTTTATTGAGATCCACTAAAAATCATTGGATTAGAACAAGCACATCTTGTCAGAAAAAACAGAACCTGCCATATTCAAAAGCTCCCTTGAAAATGTCGCATGTAAACTCCTCTGTCCTCCTGAGCTCCTTCCATTTCCAACTGGCAATAAACTGATTTGAGTTTTAAAATTTAACCTCAATGACAAATGCCATTCTGCCTAATAGGTTACTTGGAAATGTCATTTTTGAAAAAACTTCTGAGATTTGAACTAGGAAAGTTATTTTTAAAAGTGACCAACAGGGCAGCGCCTGTGGCTCAAAGGAGTAGGGCGCTGGCCCCATATACTGGAGGTGGCAGTTTCAAACCTGGCCCCAGCTCCCCCCCCAAAAAAAGTGACCAACAAATCTATTCAATCAAATTTTTAATCTAAGATAAAACAATGGCAAAGCCCCAGAAAGTTTAAAAGTCTCAGGAGCAACAGGAACCCAAGCATCTCTTGGGAGACTTCAGTTGATGGAT